TCAGGACGAGACTGGAGCCAAGCCTGGTACAAAAGAGATGATCAACCACTACACCAAGCAGCTTAACCAGCTCATTGCATCCTTGTCACTGGATGAGCTCCAAGAAGCCAAAGAGACGGCTGAATTATGGAACCGTCAAGGTGTTCCAGACGACGTCAAGGCCGACATTGCTAGGAAAAAAGGTGATGATATGATTCATCATTTCGCAACCAAGATGTGGAACCGTGTGGGAATGAGGGTCTTCATTGTATCTGCCTGGAAAAATGAGGAGGGTAAGATCCATGTCGCCAGGTGAGTGATCCGATCCTTTCGCCATGTCTCCTCTCACATTTCTGGTAGGACAATTTGGTCGGATGTTCTATGATGTTTTGTGAAATGACGGTGTTTCCTGGGACCCGGTGAGTACTTACCTCTGTTTGATCTTACATCCGTTAATACTAACAACGGGTCAGTTATGATTTCTGAACGCAAATAATATACTTACTTTGCTCTAACGGCATGATTGTTTCCTGGGATGTCACATTCATGTCATCCTCCCATCCGCAATCGTACGGATCCATCGGCAACGATACTTCAGGTGAAACTGAAGCATTTGAAACGGTATCATCCCATCCACAATCATAGGGATGATACGTCGGGAGCAGTTGATTCGACATCTTGATCGAAGGAGTGAGTTCCTGCGGTCAATTGTACCGGATCTTCTGTTGGGTTCAAATTAATCAGCTCCATGGCGAGTGCCAGGCTGTAGCTTACCTTCCGGTCTTGTACAGCCTAATCCGGTGAGTTAGTTTTGTTTTATAAGAAAATGAAGCAAAGCACCTTCTGCCGATGTTTGGACGGCCGGTGACACTGCCAACGACCCCCATTGATGGGGAACGCCGGGCTGTCAAAAAGTTGGGTGTGCGGAGCAACTCTACAACATACATGTCTATTACGAAGTGTGAGATCAACGGTGTTCAGGCTTTAATATGGCACTCACCTGACAGCATGCTTGTGACTTCATCAAAGTCGCCATTAAAACATCGCTCGTAATCTACGGGACAAGGTTGATTCAGCGATGCCAGTATCCAGGTAACGACTTACTTTTCTCTCTCTTTCCTAAAGAATCAACCCGATATTCATAGCTATGGGGTAACTCGGAACGTAATTTATATACTGCCAAAGAAATGTTTTGATCATTACCGGCTGATAGGGGTTAAATGGTGAACTTGCATTTATATATCGGATAAGATTCCAATCCGACGATTCCTTGGAATCTTGGAATGCTATCCGGTTTTGGAGGAACCCACGACTCTAAAGGGACATACTTGCCCCACCAATCTATGGGGTCCTCGGGCAATGCGGGGCGTGGCTCCACCGGGGAGTCATTCGATACAACATCATTTGATACAACACCATGATCTTGAGTGGGATTAGAACTGAACATGATGCTAGTCCATATGTCACCAGCATCTGGAGGGAGTGAGTCGCCAGCCTCCGAAGAGACTGGAGTGGCAACACGAACGCGTCTCTCAGACATGAATGTTTGTGTGAAAATGAATCCGAGAAGGCGACGAGGTGCCAAGATATACCTTCAATGATTTGTGGACCACCGACTGTGGAAACCAAATACGTGGGACAATGATCGGTGAAATCCTTCTATTACGTGATTATTATATGATATCGGTCCATGCTGCCGTTCTACATTCGCCACGAGGTCTCGGAAACACCCACAACCGACAAATTGGTATTGATCCCGACATTCGTAAAATTTCTCAGAGTCATTCCTCTTTCCCTTCCGCATAGCATTACCCTAACTTACCAACATCTTTCACATACTCCTATGATACCTTCCGAAGAAGCAAACGCTGCCCTCAATGATACTTTGACAGATGTTCAATCCCTCATCAAACGATGTATGAAGTTAAAAGAAGGCGATTCAGCGACGGCGTTGGCATTGTCGGATGAGATTGCGAGGCGCTTGGTACGTCCGGTTACCGTTGATTGTCCAGTTAATTTTGGATTGCGGACATCATTTGTTTCAGGCAAAAGATTTAAAACTCTATGGAGGGAGCGCAACATCGTTCTCTCCACAGCTGCTGTCATGCGCAGCGGTCATACGGCAGTACACTAAAGGTGGCATGTTTACATCGTCGCCAGACTGGACAACCGTCGGCGACAATGACCCACGCATCAAGGATCATCCACGTTTCCAGAAGACTATACATTATCGAGCTCCTACCGGTTCCGAAAAGACGGAACATGAACTTGCCTCTCTCGCCCAGACGGATGTACCGCAAGCTGTCGTATCATTTCCATCACTTGACGGTCCGGAAGGCAGTCCCAGGGCTGATATCCAGACTCCTGTAAAGCTTCTCCCCAGCACGGAGAAACCTCAACATGCGAATTCCTTGGAAACTGTTGGTGCTGCGGCACCTCATTCTCCCCCACTAACTTTAACGAAGGCCTCGGAACCGATCACGGCTCTGCCCATGTCAACGGGCCCGCGAGGACGCCGGAGAAGACTGTTTTGACCCCCCCGCCAACTTTAACAAAGACCATGGAACAGCTCATTCCGGTGCCCACATCAACGGCGCCAGCGAGGACGCCGGAGACGACTGTGCTGACTCCCTCGCCAACTTTCACAAAGGCCTTAGAACCTCTCACTCCTCTGCCCATATCAATTGCGCCCGCGAAGTCACCGGAGCAGTCTGTTGTGACTTGGGACCCAAAGACACGGGAGCAGACTCACAGACAACATCGTAATGATAAAAAAAGGCAAGTGGAAGATGATGTCGCCGACGAAACGGATATCATACATAGGCCTGCCCCGCGTCCGTTATCCCGGCAACCAAAAAGGAAGAAGAAGTTTATGTCAGATGAGGAAGAGGAGGCCCGGCCCCATGGAACTATATATGTGGCACGGAAGGTATGAAGACGCCTAACAATTCTTTAGCTCTAACCGTAGCATCACGCACAGCAGCACGCGTCATCATCGACGGCTAGTGCAGTTGCAACAGGGTCAAATGCAATGTCCTCCGACGTGGTCGGTGATAAGGGTTTCTGGGATGTAGACACCAGGGTAGGTTGTTGTCTCTCGGTGATTGAATTGTGATGTTTATGCTCCCAGCCTGCCGGATGGGGTAGGGATTCCACCATTGCCACTGCGGCAGAGGTAGGTGCTTGATTATTTAGGTGACAATCACCGGTAATGAATTTGGTGCAGTATTCCGTTCGTCACCACCCCCGGAAGTGTGACAAATGCGTGAAATTAGATGTACCTTGTATCGTCCTCCCGGATAAGAAGTACGGCTTCACAAGACTCGCATGCGCGAACTGCGACGAGATGAAGATCACTTGCGCAATCGATGGCGTCGGTGTCCGGGAGAGGTTGCAGGCAAAGGCTAAGTCAACAGACACTGCTGTACACCTTCCCGCCAAACATACTAAGACTCGAGCCCACAAGTTGCGGGCTGCCAAATCACAGGCCAAACATGTCCCGTCCAAGAAAGCACAACCAACAACTAGATTCTCCCGTGCTGAGAAGAAGGTTGTACATCATTTGTTGGACGGTAAGCATTGAATCCATTGGGCTGGCGAAGATCAACGCATCACAATTTTCTAGATACAATCACGGAACGACCGATGGACCTCGTGAAAACACATCCGGATCCGCCAGCGAAACCCAACGTGCCGCAATTGGAGCCTGCGTTGGCCCCGGCAACTGCCAATTCATCGACATGCATCCGGGAGACACAAGTCAGCTCATCCGCACCCGGAAACCCACCGGAGCCTGAGCCATCTGCAAGGGACATATTGCATAGCATACACGATCTCGGCAAGCGTTTTGATCTTCTTGCTACGAACGAGCGGGTGGACGCGATCGACGAGAGGTTAGACTCGGTGAAGGAACGGCTTGATGTCAGATTGACTGTGCTGGAGCAACGGTTAAGCACATCGGCCGAGCAGTGGAAAGCGACCTCGTCGACTGTGGGCAATTTGTCCATGAGCGTTCGGAAACATATAAACGATGTTGCCGTTCATCGGCATCGGGAGCATGTTGGTGGACGTATAGCATCACAACAAGACAATGCGTCACATCTGCCATGGACATTCCGAAATGCTGGTAGCGGAAATGAAGATATCGCTCTCTCTCAGATAGGGAGGCCAGCTCATGGACTGACAGAACGTGGTAATATAAGAAGAGCACACTATTCCGGGAGGTCAACATCCGCTGCTCAAATACCGGGTGCATCACTTTCGTTGTTGTCCTCATCTCTTTCCTCTCGATTCTCAAGCGCACCACCCGGTATGTCGGGCGAGTAGATATTGATTCGTTCCGGCATCAGAGGCAGCTCATATCGTACTTGTATTTCTACCGTGATTCTGTAGGGTCATCAGTAAATTTTGGAGTCTGTGGCGCAAGGCTCGAATACTGTACCGATTTGATTGCTGAATGATTAATTTATGAAGAAACTCATGTACACAAGGCACTACCGTTTCTGCGCTCGTTTCTCATCACGTATAGTCCTGGATTGACTATGTCAGCTTGTACCATAGTTTCTGCTCCCCTCAATATCAAATGTGGTTGAATATAAGTGGTTGATCCCACCCACAATGGCCGAATTTCGCCCACGGAATGGGTCGGCCGGGCCCTCCTGTAAACACGAGATTGTTGTAATCAATACAATTCTCTATACGATATAAGGCGACATCCAAGTGACTTGTGATATTGATGTTCCGGATGATGGTATACCTAATGGGCGGCCGGGTATGTACCTCTAGGTATGCAGCCGAACACTGTAATGATATCAATGGCGATCCGGATGTGACATTGATATTCATGTCGGAGGGATACGCAATATATGTAGCATCCGCTGTACTGGTGATAAACCTTGCATTCACGCCTTTGCCACAACCGCAAGAACCATCCAAACCGGAGCATTATGCCATTGGATGTATCACAGCTTGATATGATACTTATAAAGTGACGCATATCCTAACCTGCCAGGCCAATATATTATAGGAAGCAACAGTGCAGTCCATATCCACAACATACATGGCCCCGGAACCGAACTACAGAGGACGGCGACCGGGAACAGCGTAATAAAGAAAACGGTAGCTAAAAGTCCAAGATATACATATATACATTGTGAACATGGTATTATTACATAAAGTTTTCCGGAAACTTGTTGGTTTTAGATGGACCGTAAATTATCTACCGGGCATCTGAGGCGTTGAGCCTTTGCTCCAGTGCGTCTAACCGCTGGTGGAGGATATTCTCCACCGAACGCACTCTTACCTCCAAGGTGTCCACCCTCTCATTGGTGGCCAGGAGATCCAATCTCCTGCCGAGGTCGTGGATGCTCTGCAAGATGTCTCTTGCAGTTGGCTCGGGATCGGCGCGGTTTTCTGGCGCAGGCTGATCGTCCTGTGCCGGCCGACGGCTTGTGCCAACGGTTGGGACTTTGCGCATGGGCGCACCGACCGGCGGACCCGGCTGTTGCTTCTTCTCTATGATTGGATTAGTCTCAGGTTCCTCATCGGATTTAAAAGCAAACTCACCTTCAATTACGTCGAGCTCAACCCGAGGGGGTTGGGCAAGTGATCTCTTACCCAGGGTCTTGGAGATCGCGCGGGACGTCTTCATGCGCGTTCCGGAGTTTCTGGCCGGCTTTGATGTTGCCGCGGCCGCCTTCGCTTGCATTCTCTGCCTGACGCCGACACCGTCGATGGCACAGGTGATCTTCATGTGATCGCAGTTTGCGCATGCGAGTCGAGTGTATCCGAACTTTTTGTCCGGAAGGACAACGCAGGGTATGTCCAATTTGGTGCACTTGTCGCACTGCCGAGGATGGTAACGGACGGAATGCTTGAAAATATGTTAGTCTTAAACTCCTGCTATGTACCGATAGACTTACCTTCCACGGCGTTGCGATCTGAGAATCCTGACCCCATCCGGCAGGCTATTAAAAAAATCAGTGCCAGAATGCTACACAGAGCGTGGATAACGCACCCTTGTCTCTGCCTCAAGGAAACTCTCGTCATCCGCCGCATCGGATAAATCCGGACCAGCCGCATCCGAATCCTTGTCTGATGCTGCATTGGACTTTGCGAAAATTGAGTCAATGATTCATAGGCAAATGCGATTGAACATACCTTTACATAAATAGTCCCGGTGCAAACTTTGTCCTCGTCGGCCGACAAGAACTTCTTCTTCCTCTTCTGTCTTGGCTTTGAGGATGGAGGGTGCGACTTGGGATCATCGACATCGGTATCCTCATCTTCGGCCTTTCTCTTCTTGGTGTTACCGACCTGCGGGGCCACCATTCCGGATTTCTTCTTGGTGCCGGCCACAAAGAGATTGAATTTGACAGGGAGGTGGGGAGGGCTTTGTACGCCCGCAGCCATCGGGTCTGGCGCCGGCGATACCAGCTTGTGTTCTGCTGCCGGTGCAGCAATCAGATTGTCGAGGGATTGGCTGGCTGGAAGAGCTGGCGGTGCAGATGTCGGTGAAACGGGAGCTGCTGAAGGGACAGCGGTCGCAGATGCAGATGCAGCATCTTGAGGATCCAAGTCGGCAGGAACCTCAACTAGAGAGGGACGGCGGTAGCCCAAGGTCTTCTCGAATCTTGGATGGGTCTTGATCCTTGGGTCGTCTTCTGCGACAGAGGTCCAATCGGGGACACTCTCAAAGGTGCCAGCCTTTGAGCACTGCCGGATAATGGCGGCACAGGAGAGTAGCAGGGGAGAGAATGATGTTGCAGTCCCCGCGTACAGTTTCAAATCTTTGGCCTGTGTATCATGGTCAAGTTTGTAGAAACGATTCAAAGTCGGAGAAAAATGAAACTTACCACTCGCCGGGCGATTTCATCCGAGAGCCTGAAGGTCTCTGGATCGGCTTCCTTTAACTTCATGCAACGCTTCATGAGCGATTGCACATCGATCAGGGTGGTGTTCAGGGCGTCGTTGGCCGCTTCCTGAGGCGTCATGATAAAGTGTGAAATGAAGTAATGAACGGGATGGGATGTACGGAAGGTGGGAATTTCTGAATGGGACAATGTCGCACAGCGTCCGGGTTTTATATGAATCCGTCGGTTGTGGGCAGTCCGAAAACTGTGGAGAGTCACATATGTGGTCCGGGTGTAAGACTATTGTATAGATCAACCACAGCTACCATTGGCTGAACCCAGTGGATCTACACCGGCAAAGGCCGATCCACAACTGCTTCCGGAATACAATGTACGGCTGTCCGGATATTCAAAGCACGACTTACCACCATTCATGGGTGAGAAGTGGATTAAGGCTTGTTGCGGTGCACGCGGCTCCTTAGCAATGGTAGCAATCAAATTCTATGAGAGTCCGTTGTTGCAATCAAGGGTGGTTTTATTAATCCTGGATCTACCGCAACAAGCCTTAATCCACTTCTCACCCATGAATGGTGGTAAGTCGTGCTTTGAATATCCGGACAGCCGTACATTGTATTCCGGAAGCAGTTGTGGATCGGCCTTTGCCGGTGTAGATCCACTGGGTTCAGCCAATGGTAGCTGTGGTTGATCTATACAATAGTCTTACACCCGGACCACATATGTGACTCTCCACAGTTTTCGGACTGCCCACAACCGACGGATTCATATAAAACCCGGACGCTGTGCGACATTGTCCCATTCAGAAATTCCCACCTTCCGTACATCCCATCCCGTTCATTACTTCATTTCACACTTTATCATGACGCCTCAGGAAGCGGCCAACGACGCCCTGAACACCACCCTGATCGATGTGCAATCGCTCATGAAGCGTTGCATGAAGTTAAAGGAAGCCGATCCAGAGACCTTCAGGCTCTCGGATGAAATCGCCCGGCGAGTGGTAAGTTTCATTTTTCTCCGACTTTGAATCGTTTCTACAAACTTGACCATGATACACAGGCCAAAGATTTGAAACTGTACGCGGGGACTGCAACATCATTCTCTCCCCTGCTACTCTCCTGTGCCGCCATTATCCGGCAGTGCTCAAAGGCTGGCACCTTTGAGAGTGTCCCCGATTGGACCTCTGTCGCAGAAGACGACCCAAGGATCAAGACCCATCCAAGATTCGAGAAGACCTTGGGCTACCGCCGTCCCTCTCTAGTTGAGGTTCCTGCCGACTTGGATCCTCAAGATGCTGCATCTGCATCTGCGACCGCTGTCCCTTCAGCAGCTCCCGTTTCACCGACATCTGCACCGCCAGCTCTTCCAGCCAGCCAATCCCTCGACAATCTGATTGCTGCACCGGCAGCAGAACACAAGCTGGTATCGCCGGCGCCAGACCCGATGGCTGCGGGCGTACAAAGCCCTCCCCACCTCCCTGTCAAATTCAATCTCTTTGTGGCCGGCACCAAGAAGAAATCCGGAATGGTGGCCCCGCAGGTCGGTAACACCAAGAAGAGAAAGGCCGAAGATGAGGATACCGATGTCGATGATCCCAAGTCGCACCCTCCATCCTCAAAGCCAAGACAGAAGAGGAAGAAGAAGTTCTTGTCGGCCGACGAGGACAAAGTTTGCACCGGGACTATTTATGTAAAGGTATGTTCAATCGCATTTGCCTATGAATCATTGACTCAATTTTCGCAAAGTCCAATGCAGCATCAGACAAGGATTCGGATGCGGCTGGTCCGGATTTATCCGATGCGGCGGATGACGAGAGTTTCCTTGAGGCAGAGACAAGGGTGCGTTATCCACGCTCTGTGTAGCATTCTGGCACTGATTTTTTTAATAGCCTGCCGGATGGGGTCAGGATTCTCAGATCGCAACGCCGTGGAAGGTAAGTCTATCGGTACATAGCAGGAGTTTAAGACTAACATATTTTCAAGCATTCCGTCCGTTACCATCCTCGGCAGTGCGACAAGTGCACCAAATTGGACATACCCTGCGTTGTCCTTCCGGACAAAAAGTTCGGATACACTCGACTCGCATGCGCAAACTGCGATCACATGAAGATCACCTGTGCCATCGACGGTGTCGGCGTCAGGCAGAGAATGCAAGCGAAGGCGGCCGCGGCAACATCAAAGCCGGCCAGAAACTCCGGAACGCGCATGAAGACGTCCCGCGCGATCTCCAAGACCCTGGGTAAGAGATCACTTGCCCAACCCCCTCGGGTTGAGCTCGACGTAATTGAAGGTGAGTTTGCTTTTAAATCCGATGAGGAACCTGAGACTAATCCAATCATAGAGAAGAAGCAACAGCCGGGTCCGCCGGTCGGTGCGCCCATGCGCAAAGTCCCAACCGTTGGCACAAGCCGTCGGCCGGCACAGGACGATCAGCCTGCGCCAGAAAACCGCGCCGATCCCGAGCCAACTGCAAGAGACATCTTGCAGAGCATCCACGACCTCGGCAGGAGATTGGATCTCCTGGCCACCAATGAGAGGGTGGACACCTTGGAGGTAAGAGTGCGTTCGGTGGAGAATATCCTCCACCAGCGGTTAGACGCACTGGAGCAAAGGCTCAACGCCTCAGATGCCCGGTAGATAATTTACGGTCCATCTAAAACCAACAAGTTTCCGGAAAACTTTATGTAATAATACCATGTTCACAATGTATATATGTATATCTTGGACTTTTAGCTACCGTTTTCTTTATTACGCTGTTCCCGGTCGCCGTCCTCTGTAGTTCGGTTCCGGGGCCATGTATGTTGTGGATATGGACTGCACTGTTGCTTCCTATAATATATTGGCCTGGCAGGTTAGGATATGCGTCACTTGATGCGCCTGAAGTGGTTCAAATAGCATATTTGCATTAGGATTGACATCCGTCATGTTACTGACTGCTGAATAATGTTTGCCACACGCCCGGCATACGGATCTGACAACGGAATACGTCCCGGGTTGCATTCATGCCCTTCCTTCGCAATATTCCGCTTTCACCAGTCGCTCACGTACCATGTCAATATATATAACTACATGGTCGCCCGAGATATCGCTTCCGCAAATGATAGGCACTGATCTCAAAATCTCTAATTCTCACTGCCGATCACAAACATGTGAAGTTGGTTGGTCGAACAATCGCGGTCTGCTGGGACCAAATAGACATTTGTTCGTTCCATTTGTGACACCTTCTGGTGTGAAATTCATTCAATCCACATCCTTGAAGACCAATTCTCGGCCATTTGTCTACCTTTCCAAGACTAATCGGGGATAAGCGGCAAACCATCCCCTTCCGATATCACTTCCGCCTGCCGATGTCACAAATCTCATCATCGCTGACCCATGTGGAGCGCAGAGGCATAGTCTTCCGAGCCTAAAGATATCAAACTGACTTTTGTGAAACATAACTTAAGTGGAAATCAGATGCTTATCGTCGTCGATAGTATGATGGTAAATTGGTCCTTCCGAAATTACACATTTTGTGAATCATGAAAAAACCAAGGTGGCTCCAGGGTCAGCATTTCCGATACCAAATTCATATTCCCTTGGCCAATCATGACTAGCCGGGCCCAACCGTTTGTGTAATCGGTTGGGGTACGCCCGTGGTGAAATAACCAACCGTGCTAAACCTTCAGTCCTTCCGATATCACACTCATAATAAGCTGGGCGCAACAGTCGGTCCTTCCAACATTGTATACATATTGACATATGACGAGCTGGCCCTTCCGAGATCACTTGATTGTGCTCCTGGGCCGAAAACAACTAGCCAACCCTTCCGATATCAAATGCTTGTTCTCCTGAGCCGAACCATCTCCTCTCCAAGATTATATGCAATTCTCCTGGATGCGTCGAAAATGAGCGGTCGGCCCTCCCGAGATCTGCTGGGCTGAACTGCTAATCCTTCCCCCGACAATATTTCCCGACCCCAAACACAATCGGCTGGCCCATCCGATATCAGACGCATGCCCACCAGCTGGCTCGTATGCCAGGACGACACATGACTACCAGTCGCCGCTTGGGTCCACAAATTACTGGCTTGGCCCAACCGCCAGTCCTTCCGAGAATTCTCCTGGGCCGGAAACATACCTAGTCAGCCCTTCCGACATCAACTGCGTGTTTTCTCGAGCCCATCCGTTGGCCCATCCGAGATCATGTACGCATTCTCCTGGGCCGAAAAATCACCATTCGGCCCTTCCTGTATCAGCTGGGCCAACGGCCATTCCTTCCGACATATTCTCTTGGGCCGAAACTGATTGGCCGGCTCTTCCGATATGAAATCCCAACCATCCGCACTTCCGAGATCACATGCTGGGCCCAAAATTACTCGCTTGGCCCAACCGCCAGTCCTTCCGAGAATTCTCCTGGGCCGAAAACATACCTAGTCGGCCCTTCCGACATCAACTGCATGTTTTCTCGAGCCCATCAGTTGGCCCATCTGAGATCATGTACGCATTCTCCTGGGCCGAAAAATCACCAGTCGGCCCTTCCTGTATCAGCTGGGCCAACGGCCATTCCTTCCGACATATTCTCTTGGGCCGAAACCGATTGGCTGGCTCTTCCGATATCATATGCTGGGTCAACACAAAACCTACTGGTCAGCGCTTGGGCCCAAAATCACTAGCAGAGCCCTTCCGAGATGACATGGATATAGAATATCCAGCTGGGCCTATCCGTTCTTCCTTCCGAGACATATATACAGGGCCCATCCGTCACTCTCAGTACCTGTATCCCAATACGATCGGCCCGCTTATCCTATTGATCTCACACTTGGCCGACCCGCCAGCATGGGTACTATTCCAAGCTGTGGGCCCATCCGTGATCAGCTATGCTTGGGCTCACATTGGATGGCCCGCCTCACTGGGTCGATTCTCAACCTTTGGCTGTCCGACTAAGTCAGGAAATGTTACTGAAGGGGCTCGGAGCTTCGCATACACTTGCCAGGTAGCAAGGTCGAATAAAAGGTCCAGGATGATGCCATCATTATGCGGGTCAAGGAGTAATTCTTCAAAGACTGGTATAGTGCACTGAAAATAAATCTGAAATCAGTTGTGAAATGTTATGTGAAATGATCTAAAACTTGCCTGTAATAAATCTTCGAAATCTCGGGCTGCAAGGCGCTTCATTGCAGAAGCATTCTTGTGGAAACTTTGGATTGTGCCTCTCCCAAACGTTGGCACATGACGGTATCTGTAGCAGAACATTATGTATGAGAAATATTAGCAAACAAATAAAAAACATACCTCCAGTTCAACTCCTGCACTGCCGCACCCCCGGCAGCATGGATAATACGCATCAAGTGAGTGAAAATAGCTTTCCACACACCGAGTTCAAACTTGTGCAACATGTCTACTACCAGCATCAAAAAGAAATTGAATCCGAATATAAAAAGCCAATCAGAAAAGGCATTCTGTAACTAGTTAGTAGAAATTTGAATACAATATGAACAACTTACGCGTGTAGGGACAAGAGACTCAGAATTAAGGACTGATTTCACTCGCTTGCTGTCCACTGGCGCACTGCATTGGAAGATGAGTTTGCGTGCGCGATCAATCTTGTTGCGGCAAGCCTGATCATCAACACGTCGGAGTGTTATGCGATCATTCATATCGCCTTCGGTCCCCATCTCAGATACATCGGCCTTCTTGATAAGGCAGCGTGGACATAGACATACACCAAGAAACTTAATTCCGGCAAGTAAGATCCTAATATGATGTCAATTTCAGTAACACGTGAGATGAGAGAAAAACTTACTTCTCTGGATAATCAGCAGAATACGAAAAAAACGAGGAAATACTCGGCGAGTGATGCCATCTCCACAACGGATCACAATGCCATGCTCATATGCGTGCATGAAGTCTTCGTCGAGGAGGAGCTTCCATATTGCCTGCATAAGCTCCCGCTTGCAGTGTGTGTGCACCTCTGACAAAGACGCATCCTCGAAGATACCAAAGTACGAATCTTGAAAATCGTCTGGGATCTGATCTTGTAGTAAGTAGGGGTGGATGATTTGAGTGATTTGAAACAAACTCACTGAAGGAATATATGCGACGTGATGGCATGCGCAAGCTGTAGGCTTCCCACGGGTATATTTAGATTCATTACCGAAAAACAGATAAAAAGGCCAGAGAGAGGCATCACCGAAATTCGAAAGGTGTGTCGAGTCAGAATACATCATAAGTGATGCCACGACACATTCCAGATCGTCATCCGGACTGCGGGGAAGGGAATTGACCTCAGCGTGGGCCTCCATCATTGCAGAGGAAGAATATGCCTCCGAAAAGACCTCGATACTTCGCTTGTCTGAGACTTTCCACATCTGATGAAATGGCGTCATATGGTATGTTGTCGCTGCACCATCTGCAAACACCTCCGTTACAATATCTGTCAATGACTGATGACGCACCCCTTTAATCTCAAGCTCAGGAGCATCCTCTTCTGACAGCCATTTCATTTATTCTTTAGGGAGGTGGATGTAGACAGATGACTCCTTCCACCCATTCCTCGCGCTAAAAGGGTTGGAATGGTCCTCAAGGTACTGTGTGACCAGTCTCTTCTCGCGAGTAGGATTGAAAATGCTAATATCCCTTCTATCATAAGCATCGTTGTTAAGGAAAGTGGTGAGTCGCTGTAAAGCAGCATTGGAAATGAGGTTTGCGGTGGAATATTGCCAGCACATAAGTAGACCAGCTGTTGGACTGCTGAATGCAGAGTACAGATTTTTGGGAGTGACGTAAAATGGGAGGGGGGGGCCAGTGTGAATCCAAGATGAAGTGTTATTGGGATTTTCACCTGTCTGCAACATCAGAGAGTCGCATAGAGTATTAAGGGTGGTACCGGTCCACGGAAATAGAGTAGGACGAGTAGGATACACTCGGTACAATCCCCATGTATCTGGTTCTGTCTCAAAAGAAATTAGCACATCGCCGGTGTGATCTCCCTCTTCAGACATGACATCTTCAGGCTGAGGCACATCAGGTACCTCATCGCCGGGAACAAAGTTGTCATATCGTTTGGGCATGTGAATGATGCGCCCAGAACGATTGGAGCGAATAGCTGCATTAGGCTCAGGTAGTGGTGGGGAAGGGGATCGTTGCAAAGGTCCAGGAATGTCGTTATCCTGTAATATATGTCAAATATTAGTTTTGTAGGATTAAAAAGACAAGACATACCTGATTATGCCAGTTTCCGGCATGCACGTCACCTATTTCTTGGGGGGCATCCTCCTCTCCACTGAAAGACTCCCGACGGTTGGTTTTTCTCTTCTTGATCTTGCGATTTCTTTCAGAGTGCCGGTATGATTTGCTGATCTGCGTGCTGAATTCACGGTGAGTCTCGCATAGCATCTCATGTGCGCTCAAGCGCCTCTGGCTGTTGAAAGCCTTTCCACACCCAAGGCAGGTGAGGTCGTCCATGGAGTAGCGGGAGCGGGGGTTTCAGATGGGAGGACAGTGCTATTTATCTAGAATACAAACACTACGCTACCAAATATACGTGAGGATATGTCAATACCTAAATGCCTGGTATGAATCACATGGACGCACCTTATAATGGAAGTCCTCTAGTGATACTCGAAGGCCGCATCAAGTCTGCCGCATGGTATCATCCTGCAAATCCAAACCATGTGAGCATTTGAGCCACCGCGATAAGAGAGAAAACAAGGTAAGCCATGTGCACTGGGACAATGCGGAGGAGGAAGTTGCAGGGAAAGAACCGAGGGGAGCGTCGATACTGAATGTAAACTGCATTTGCTTAATGGTACCGGGCTGGGCGTTCTGGGAAGAGGGAGCGTCAATACTGAATGTAAACTGCATTCGCTTAATGGTACTGGGCTGGGCATTCTGGGAAGCCTCTTGGGAATGTTCGTGTTCGACGGCTCGTTGATGGAAGTGCACTCGTGGGTGGACAAGAAATACAACTTGAATTCTGCTATTAGTAGTACATGGGACAATGGGATAACTCATGCAGAGCGTGTCAGTATCTGATGCAAAGTGAAATGAAGGTGTAACAAAATGAAAGCGGGACAAAGTGCTGCAAAGGATTGGCGAAAACGATGAGATGAGAACATACATACTATGTAGTTTTGTCAATGGCTACTACATCAGCAGGTGTAATCTTAAGGCTCTCAAAAGCTGAGATAGGTAAAGAAGAAACATTTTGGTAGCCATGAGGCCAGTGTGGGGGCCAAGCGGAATCTGCATCTCCAAAGAAGTGACCGTGACCGAGTTTGCGTTTTTTGGAAAGGTCCTTCCTGATTGTGTCGAGCCTCACTGGAGTTGCGACAAAGAGATTGGGGTTATTGCTGAATCAAGATGAGAAAAAATGAATTAAACACTGCTAAAAACATACTCGGTCTTGGAGGTTGTCTCTTCGGAGACAAATGTCGCATCCAGGTCGTCCTTCGTGCTAGACGAAGAGCTAAAAAGATAGAATGTGAGTGTGTACACTAATAAGCAAAAAAAAAATGTATCATACATCTTGCAAGCCTTCGATTCTGATGTCTCAGTGTCGCTGTCTTCATCTTTGACATATTTGAATCTAGACGCGTCTTTTAAACACAATATAAGTGTCTGTATGATTAATGTAAGTAAAACAACGCGACTCAGAATTTGAAGTGAATACTTACCACGGGTCCTGGGTGGGTCGGCGTGAACTTGATCGTATATGTCGGCCAGTCTACCAGCAGGTTTTCGACATCCATGAAGATGTGGTTGCCGGCGACACCGACTTTACCAGCGACATCGACTTTGTCACTGCAGTCGACAGGTCCGAAAGAGCGAGCAGTAGTGTTAGACATTAGGATATAAGTATTAAGTATAAAATTAAGAGTTCAAAGCAATACACGCGTCAAAGCGCATCAAACACTTATGAAAATTCCAGCGGAGTCAAATATAATAGGAGCCAAACAAGGACAAGCGCGTCAATAATATTCACGCGTCTTAAGTTATCACTGATTCTTATCTTTCCATCCTACACCATGGCGCGTCGCAAACGCACTACCTCTGTTTCATCATCTTCATCATCCGACAGTTCTATCTCATCCCAGTCAGCAGTAGCTGTACCTCCGAAGAAGATCTCAAAGAAACTCACCAGGCCAAAAAAAAGCACTGTTCATCAGACGATGACGAGAAAACGTAAGTAGATTCATCATCAGTTTGTTTGATGTCGCGATCACTAATAATGCTTTAATACAGGATTATGGAGCCTGAGACTGACCCTCACGAAGAATTTGTCGCTGCAGCGCATTGCATAGCGCGCTGCATTGACGTGTTTTGCAAGACAAAACAACTTATCATGGTAGGTCTTTCTCTGCAGCAGCGTGATGCTGCAGAGAATGGTGATGTCTCGGAGGACGAAGATATTCGGGCTAGTCGCGACAAGTGACTCTCAAAAATGTGAGTCACTTATGAATCTTACCATTAACTGAATCTTTTCCTGGTCCGCAGGTCACCTAAGATCCAAGATCGATACAAGAGGAACTATGCTCGTCTACTCCAGCTCGCGCCGAGCTTGAAGCCTCTACTCGGCGACCCTCAGAAAAGTTCGGAACTCAACGCTATCATCAAGAAGGTGAGTTTATGCACATATATGCACATATCATGTACTTAATTCATCCATCAGATGGATGCTACCATCTCCGCTACTCGTTCTGACGATACCTCGCGCCTGAAGAACCAAATCGGTCACTACGCAGCCTTCAACCTGTGTTCCCCGATAATGCCACCTATATATGACGGCACTGGTTCATGTACCCACCTGGGTAGTAACCACCCCGTTCTCGCTCGATTTCTCTGTCCAGTCAGGGAACTCAAAGAATTTTCAAAGGACGCTGAGAAGTATGTTTTTTTTTATTCAAGTCCAACTCAAGTTAGTCTAACGCGATACAGGGCTCAGAAAAACTTCAAAACGGCAAGATTAAGATGACTGCCTCCGCTCTTCCTGCTTTTCTGTGGGCTGGGGATCTACCAGGCAAGGACTACGATGACAATAACATGTTCGAAGGCATGTTCGACACATAATACAGTGACCTATCTCCGTATAATACGAGGGAACGGACGTGCATAATATCCCGTATGATACGGGCCAGCGGACCATGGGCCCATGATAAAAATATTCTCGACTATGATGGATGGGCCGGGAGGCAAATTATTCCCGATGGAGGCAGGTGGGCCCATGCAGGGAATATATAGAGTAGATGAGTGGGCCGATGTAAATGAATATTAGGTAGACGGGTGGGCCGAGGTAGTTGGATATTATGCAAATGGGTGTATTAAGGTAGATGTGTATGAGATAGATGGGTAGGTACTTGTTATCACATTCACGGGTGGGCCCAGACACATATTAAATTAGACGGGTGGGCCGAGGGTATTATAAAATATTGTATTATACGGGTGGGCCCAGACGCATATTAATTAGACCGGTGGGCCGAGGGTGTTGTATGGGATGTTGTATTAGACGGGTGGGCCGAGGGTGGTATACAATATAGATGGGTGGGCCCATGTGTATCATAATTGTAGACATGATGGAGCTGAGGTAGTTGTACATCAACCAAATCAGAGGAGGTAATAAATCAAAGTTACCAAGTTCCCGGAGCATCAGGTGATCTCCTGACATGGCAGTGCGAAGCTTGTGTTGCCCTACGAGACGTCAAGTTCCGGCCACCAGAATTTGAGTCAACTGTACCGAGTTCCGAGTTCCGGGACCCGGACTCACCACATAAGTTGGTTAATACTTTTTGATGGTGCACAGGTTGTCTTGCAGAATGTGGAATCCGGTGTGCGAAGCTTGTGTTGCCCTACGAGAAGCCAAGTTCCGACCACCAGAATTGGAGTCAACTGTACCGAGTTCCGAGTTCCGGGACCTGGAACTCAACACATAATTTAGTTAATACTTTCCGTGTTAAATGGCCAACCGAAGTTGAGATGTTTCTGAAGAGAGCAGCAGGTGCTCTCTTGACATGGCCTCTGATGGTGCTTAGGTTGTCTTGCAGAATGTGGAATCCACGGTGCGAAGCTTGTGTTGCCCTACGAGAAGCCAAGTTCCGACCACCAAAATGTGAGTCAACCGTACTCAGAGGAGGTAATAAATCAAAGTTACCGAGTTCCCGGAGCAGCAGGTGATCTCCTGACATGGCTGTGCGAAGCTTGTGTTGCCCTATGAGACTCCAAATTCCGACCACCCAAATATGGGTCAACTGTACCGACCTCCGAGTTCCGGGACCCAGGAGTCGACAAATGAATATCTGATGACCAGCGAGTCAACCTTACTCAGAGGAGGTAATAAATCAAAGTTACCGAGTTCCTGGAGCAGCAGGTGATCTCCTGATATGGCAGTACGAAGCTTGTGTTGCCCTACGAGATGCCAAATTCCAACCACCCAAATATGGGTCAACCATACCGACTTCCAAGTTCCAGGACCCGGGAGTCGACAAATGAATATCTGATGACCAGCACACTTCCAATCAGGTAGTATTTCATTGAGCAATGGATAATAATACATCTTTGACAGCCAAAATTATCCATGGCTCCCTTATCTGATCCTCTCTATCTCCACCCCCCTATAACACCAAAGTCCGGACATCCAGCATGAATGGTTCTTCCCCTTCCCCTCCTGATAGCATAAACATCTGGCGCACTTGGGCCCTGACTGTGACTTATGAAGCAGGGGAATATACTGAACAGAAATTCAAGGCAGAGAAGACTGGAGGAGGCCCAGTCATACCTTCCCCCAACCTAGACACTGATCTGGTGATGGCATGCGATCGCTTGGCTGATGTACTCATAAAGGCATCTAAAAATCCCAGTGGGTCTTCCTGCAGATTCAGAAAATTCTATTTATCATTCAAATGCCTGCATGACAGTTCAGATGCAGATGGATATTGCAAGATATAGCAAATTGATCTCCCCGAAGGACACCGGGCATAATGAACATAGAGAGGCGAGGTTGCTTGAGAGGTGTCCTCCTGGCCATGAAGGCAAAAGGTTGGTCGATGAACCTGCAATAATTCTTGATGCATCCGGTGCCATCATTGCATGGTATCTCCCAGACGCCCTGACAGACACCACCCAGGTGTGTAATATACATTGTTACTCGATGGATATCGAATATTAATGGAACCTACAGAAGGAAATCAGGGAGGCCATCGATTTGCTCTCTCCAAGCCTCGAAAAAAGTGTAAGGGCTGATGGCAATTGGCAAACTAATCAAAGGTTGTTCAACCGGGGCTCGGAAGATGTTGGAGCAACTCCCGGATGCATCAATCTATCTCCAGCATGGTTTCAACAGGGACATGAGGTAGGATCTGATGAGATGGTGATTCCGGCAGTCATACTTACCAATCCCAAAGAATGTGTCCGATCCGGAGGTATCTGCATCATTGAAGGGACCTTCCTGCGAGAATATCCTCAAAGCCATTGCAAGGCCAGCAGCCATCGCGTCCACGGCACTCAGAGTCATGCATCCTGAGCAGTACTGGGCAGGGTTGAGAACCTTGTCAAACCTTGGAAATATAGCAGTAAGCAAGGATCTGCCACAGATGCCAGAGGCCCTGCAGTACTGGGCATCCGTGTTTAACACCCTCTCCATTATTTCCAATCGGGAAACCCCCCATCATCGAGACCACATGTCCATTGCTGAATGCTTCGACATTCTCACCACCGTGGGGGACTATTCTAATGCTCGGATGACAATGCCAAACCTTCAGCTGGAGTTCAAGTACAATTCCGGCTGTATGATTGCGTTTTCCGGAAAGATTGTGAGACATGGAGTGTATGATGTGGAAGGGGATCGGATTGCTTGGGCATGGTATATGAGGGATGCTGTTCATATTTATGCTGGTGTTCCATCATGTGGATGGGCTAGTGTGGATGGTCCATACAGCGTGTGAAAGATCAAACAAAGAGCAAGCATTGTAACCTATATACATTCCAACAAATGAATACCATGTACCAATTGTGATCCGGACCTCAATACTCAATTTTGAGCATTTCCCAAGTGATATGTGGGACTAAATAATTTGGATGCAAGCCTCGGTATTCGATAATTGGAACTCGGGACTTGACATATGGGAGCCCTGAGTGCCGGGGTACTTAGTCCCGACACCCGGACCTCAGCACGTGATATTTGAGACTGGGGGAAGATGTATAAATATGCTCGAATTAACATTTGTTATTGCCATACACATTTAACAAAACCCTGAACCCTGACATTGTGGACTCTGGACTCGACACTGTTCTGAATACCGAGTTCCGGACGCCCAGGTCCCGAGTCCCGAATTTCGGAGGTCGGGGTTCGGAGACCTGGAGCTCGGCAACTGTGTTGGGTGTCAGGGTATCCAGACCATTGGAGATAGAATCTGTCAGTATTTTGCGTTTCATGGTTTATGTTGGGTGAATATGGAATCGGGGATCAGGGACTCGGTATTCAGAACAGTGTCAAGTCCCAGGTCACAAGCTCTGAGTCCCGAGTGCCGAACCCCGAGTCCCGAGTCCTGAATTTCGGAGGTCGGGGTTCGGCGACCCAGAGCTCGGCAACTGTGTTGGGTGTCAGGGTACTCGGAGCATTGGAGATAGCATTTGTCAGTATTTTAAGTTTCATGGTTTATGTTTCGTGATTATGGAATCGGGTGTCAGGGACTCGGTATTCAGAACAGTGTTGAGTCCCAGGTCATGAGCTCCGAGTCCCGAGTCCCGAAACCCACACCCAGCAGTTGCCGAGCTCCGGGTCGCTGAACCCCGACCTCCGAAATTCGGGACTCGGGACTCGGGGTTTGGCACTCAGGACTCGGAGCTTGTGACCTGGGACTTGACACTGTTCTGAATACCGAGTCCCTGATCCCCGATTCCATATTCACCCAACATAAACCATGAAACGCAAAATACTGACAGATTCTATCTCCAATGGTCTGGATACCCTGACACCCAACACAGTTGCCGAGCTCCGGGTCTCCGAACCCCGACCTCCGAAATTCGGGACTCGGGACCTGGGCGTCCGGGACTCGGATGTGAGATTTTTGAATGCATAGAATATGTTACATCTTGTATACAATGAAGACTGAATGGGACTACACTCCTTTGCCTTTCCTCAATTTCTCTAACATGTCAGTGTACATCTTCACCTCTCCCATCTTAGCTTCGATGCTCTGATCTTGCTCCTCCAGCAATGCTTCCATGTGTTCTTTGATGAATCTCAGTCCCATGAGTGGTGGAGTCGAAGTGTTTTTCAACTTCTCTGGAAGTACCAAAGCATCATCCTCAACATTAAGCTGAAACAGATAAGTCATCAATAAAGGTAATTCAGCTAACATCTTACCGCCCAATACTGGTAGTGAGAGACGCAGGAAGCCATTATTTCATCCCACTGCCATGGTTGATCAGGGATCCAGTTGTTTCCCCTCCACCATGGACATGTATATGCGAACACAATCCGGGACAGATGTCCTGCAATTGGCTCATCATGAAATGAAAGGAGGTGGAATGAAAAGATGTCGTCCGGAACCATGTTCCAGGTGAGCATGGGATACAACTTAAGGATATAAGCGACAGGGACCGGAAGAACCAACACGATATTCTGTGAAGCGGAGTACTGCAGGAGTGGTGTGACAAATGTCTGCTCAAATTCTTAGCATTGACCAACAAAGTCATCAAGGCAGTGGTAACATACATTCATCTCCCATTGCAGCCCGGCTTTAAAATACTTGATCCGGTCAGCAGATAGACCATTGTTGGCAGCTTCCATCCAATATTGAGAGATGATTGCACGGACACGCGATCCAGCCATTGCCAATGTGCAGGAAATAGTTGCAAGGCTCAGCTTCAGAGGTCAGTAATGGCTTCCGGGATTCAGAGTGCCAGAAGTGGATGCATGAGATGCAGACATGGCTAATACAGGACTATGGCGCTGGCAATACAAGTGAAAGATGGTCAAGATGTGAAGATAAGAATCACTGATGGATGGATACAAAATTCAAACTCCGATATGGGCTGACCCGGACAATTCCCGGGCGTCAATTATGTATGTG